GGCCACTCGGAGTCTCCCCCTCCCTCCCAGGCGCCCAAGCCTGGGAGGGAGGGGGAGCAGTGGCGCGTGAAATGACTACTCGGGCTCTCCCCCTCCCTCCCAGGTTTGAGAGCCTGGGAGGGAGGGGGAGACTCCGAGTGGCCGCGGCGCGGGCGCCGTTTCTCCCCCTCCCTCCCTCCTAGGCTTGAGAGCTTTGGGGTAGGAGGCAGGGCTGGGGATTTGGGAAAGGGGCGGAGTTGAGGCGGGGCGGGGTAATTAAAGAACGGGGGAAGGGGGGGGCGGCCAAAATTGTTTTTGCTTTGGGCGGCAAAAATCCTAGAGCCGGCCCTGTCTGTGGGTATTTAATTTGAAGAAGTTACAAGACAGTGGAAAGTTCAAACTTTCAAATGGCTGGCTGGCTGCCTTATGGAAGATTTTTAAAAAAAAATAAAGTGTAGCTGTCTAGTGGCACACCTATTTGGAAAGAAATAACATTTTCCCCCAGATACGAAAAGTCTGCATTCAGATGAAGCAGAAAGGGTGAGGGCATAGGCGAGAACCAGGAACAAGGAGGAGAGAACACACAAGTGGATGCTACATTGGCTTGTAAAATGAAGTGGGGAAGAAGGAAAAAAAACAGGAGAGGAAAGACAAAATAGATAGCAAGAAGGAACTGACAACATTTAAGTTAGTGGAGTTTTATTTAATACACACTGCTTCATGTCTTTATACAGACACTCCCCGACTTACGCAAGCGGTCCGTTCTGGAACGCCTTGCGTAACTCGAATTTTGCGTAAGTCAGAAACATATATCCGACAATTACACAAAAATAAACCCTCCTGTTTCTAGCTTGCAGAACTTTTTCCGTACGGATTTGCGTAAGTCGGGTTTGCATAACCCGGGGGGCGTCTGTAGTATGTCTCTGGAAGATGTCCCACAGCTAGTGGGACATTAGGGAAGCTGTGCAGACAATGATAGCAGACTGCTGTTGCCGAATGAACTTAGTCACATGGCTGCTTACAGTTGGGCATGTAACCAGGTTAGCAGAGAAGATTTTTTTAAAATTTCAAATCCTTTTCTAGATTTTCTCTCCTGAAATTGACATTCAGGCTCAGACACATCAATACATTCTACTGAATCAAAGGTTTCAGAGTGGTAGCTGTGTCAGTCTGTATCAGCAAAAAGAATGAGGAGTACTTGTGGCACCTTAGAGACTAACAAATTTAACACTTCAACCTCCCTGGACACTCAATTACAGACCTAAAAGTCACAATTCTTCAACAAACAACCTTCAAAAACAAACTCCAATGAGAAACTGCAGAACTGGAATTAATTTTCAAACTGGACGCCATTTAATTAGGCTTGAATAAAGACTGGGAGTGGATGGGTCATTACACAAACTAAAAACTATTTCCCCTTGCTAATTTTTCCCCTACTGTTACTCACACCTTCTTGTCAACTGTTGGAAATGGGCCATCCTGATTATCACTACAAACTTTTTTTTCTCCTGCTGATAATAGCACACCTTAACTGATCAGTCTAGTTAAGAGTTGGTATGGCAACCCCCATTTTTTCATGTTCTCTGTATATATACACATCTTCCTACTGTATTTTCCACTGCATGCATCTGATGAAGTGGGTTTTAGCCCACAAAAGCTTATGCCCAAATAAATTTGTTATTCTCTAAGGTGCCACAAGTACTCCTTTCTTTTTACTGAATCAAAGACAACTATAAAATACATACATAGGCAACAGTATACACCAGAAAATGACTAAAGCATCAAATGTAAAGGAATAGAAACTGGAGTCATCCCAAAATGGCAACAAGAATAACTAATATATCATTTTACTGAGGTATAGTTAGGCCCCTAAAGAGTGCCAATTTAGACTATACTCAAAATACATTTTAAAATTACAATTTAAGATTGTAAATGCAATATAAATTCACTTTGGTTAGTGAGTTTAAAATATATTTATTGAATTGCAGTGGAATAAATACAAATAATATACAACTGAGAAATAGACAAAGGATAGCTTGTGGATAAGGCTATGGGAAAAGATTCAAGAGACCTGGATTCAACTCAGCTCTGCCAGAGACTTCATGTGTGACCTTGGGCAAATCATTTTTTCTTTCTATGCTTCAGCTCCCCATTTGTAAAAAGAGGTTAATACTTTTTTCCCCATCCTTCTTCTGTCTAGTGTATTTTTGACTGTGAGCTCTTCAGGGCAGGGACTCTCTCTTACTATGTATCTATACAGTGCCTAGCACAACAGCACCTTGATCTCTGTTGGAAGTCTAGGTGCTACCCTGCATTCCCTGTAAACTGTGTGTTTGGGCGGCCGCCCAGGAGAGATTCAAGTGCCATGCATTTGATTAGCAGAGCCAGGCATATCCAGCTGGCAGCATATGTTCATTGTAACTTAATCCTCCTTCAATTAACATACTGCCAACACTTTGCTCCTGAGTGAAAGCATTTTAATGTATACGCATTCATTTCACACCTTTAGTTGATTCACCTTAATTTTCTTGAGTGTACCATTGGAGGCAAGCCAAGTGTCTATGCTGCTCTACTACACAACACTTCCCAGCTGGAACAGTACAGAATGAATGGGGTCACATCAGTTCATTCAACTCCTCTCACATTTCTGACCAAGCATCTTGAGGAAAGTGCAGAACAGATGTGATGCTTCTCAGGAGAAACGAATCAGGAGAAAGGAGGGAATGAATGCAGTCTAGCAGCTGTACATAAGGCATCATCAGTGTAGGGCTAATAATACGAATAAACCAAACTAGGAGCAGTGCGTTGATAGCATAGTAATCCACTCCGCAGACGCAGAAGAACAGTAAGCATCTTCATGTACCATTTTCTAATAAATCATCTAGTTCACTAAAAAAACAAGCGACAGGGGCATATCCACCGGCGCGCTTTGTGCTCCGAGGTCCGTGGGGTAGAGAGTAAAAGCTAGGAAAACAGGTTACTATTTAAACATTCACTCCCTCCCCCGCCAACAAACATCACATCACACCTCGCCCGGCGACCGCTCAGTGTAAATAGGTGGGGGGACGGGACAGAAGAGGCGGCATCCTATATAATCTGGGGCTCCCATTTCGAGAAGCCAGTGGGTTTTATACCAGCCATAGGACAGCCGGGCCAAGGCTCCTCGGGGGTGGTTTTTTGCTTACTCGCAGGACCCCCCCCCCCCCAGTTTCATTGGAGCGACAGCGGCTGAGCGCCCCAGCGGGAGACACGCTGCCGGCGGGGACAACATCCAACCCGCCTCAGGCGCCGGGACACAGACGCTTCGGCCGGAGCGACTCCGGATCCAAGCAGGGGTCTCCCGGCTGCCGCTGTTAGAGGGGGTGCGGGACGTGCCTGGGGAGGGGTCTGCGCGCTCGCTGGCCTCGGGGCTTGTAACCCCCCGGAGAGCCGGAGGAGGGGATCCGCCCTCAGTCACTGCTGAGGGGAACCAAGGGGGTAAGTGAGAAGTGGGGGGTAGGGGGACAGCCCCACTCACCGCTCAGGCCCGGTTGCACCGCGCGCTCCCGGGGAAGCGCCAGTCACAGCGGCCAAGGCCCCGCTCCCTGCGCTGCCCGGGTAAGCACCGAGTGTCTCTCGCAGCCCCGACACACAAAGAGCTTCTCAAAATGGCGCCCGAGCCGGACGGTGAGGTTGAGGTGGGAGGCTCCGCCCACCCCATGGCAGGGGCGGAGCTTCTCTCGGCCCGGCCCGCGGGGGGGAACGTCACACCCTCCCCCACACCGCTTATTAACGCCTGCGGGCCCAGGTAGCGGTGGGGTATTGCCTAGCACTGCCGAGCGGGCCGGGAGCGCCCCGCTCATAGGAAGGAAGGGAGCCGATGTGGCTGCTCTCCCGGAGGTGGCGCTAACTAGTGCCCGTGAGGTCTGACTGCGAGGAGCCGCCCGCCCCTGCCCCCACGGCCGCCGAGCTTCCTCCGTGAAGGGTGGGAGCCGCTGAGTGGGGACCCCAGAGCCGCCTGCGCCCTGCTTGGCACCCAGGTGTCAGTGCCCCTCTCGCGACACTCCTGTCCTGGGGACTTGACTAGAGGCTGCAGGGCCAGCCCTAGCGTGGTAAATGGCAGGGCTGCCAGGAGAGGTCGTCATGGTACCCTCGCGGCTCCTGTCCTGTTGCTGCAGGAAATGTGAGAACCAGCTGGGCGCGCACCAGTTTTTTTTTTCACTCCCTCTCTCTCCATTTCCTACCAGCATCCAACTGCGCCGTCCCCGTGAGAATCCCATGCCCCTTATCTCTAGGAGGGTTCCGCCTTTCTTATCCTTGCCTGTTAAAAAGCTACTCCTAGCTCCTTCACTCTGGATGACAAGTGAGAATCCAAGAGCGCTATTTAGGCACGTCTCAGGCCAATTCTGCATCTCCTGCAAGCTGTCGGGACAATAGACTTGCTAGTTGTTGGTATATATGGCATAGCTGGCTGTGCCTTGACTCCTCTGTAACATAGCTGGAAGATAAGCATGCGTACAGCACAAGGATACTGAGACCCTGCACTTCACACACACACACACACACACACTGCCACTTCTTGTCCAAGGATCCAAAGTAATTTGCAAACATTAATTATCATAATCACAACATTAGTATGCAGTAGGTATCACTGTTACTGACAGATTAAGTCCACCTCAGGTGAGACACAGAGAAATTAAGTAATTTAAGGAATGTCAGATGAGATCTCAGTGGTGGAACTGGAAACTGCAGAAATCTGGACTTCCCATCCCCTGTTCTAAACACTCAACCTGGGTCCCATTCTAGTGAAAAATTACTGTTTTTTATGCAAGTTATTTCCTACTCCCTATTTGTTTAGACTTCAGTCTAGCCTATGTTATTCCTTTATTAATATTCCAGGCTTAACCTACTACCAAAATGTCATTTGTTTTTTTTTATATTGCAGATGTCTGCATTAAAAGCAGTGTGATAAGTAATTTTAGACTTGGGTATCCTAGATAATAGGTTCACCAGACATAGCACACTGAAAATCCCTCATGATTACAATCTATAGTCTGAAAACTGCTTTGTATAGTACTGTGCTAACTTTAAGGTAACAATAGATTCTTTTTTTTTTCCAAAAGATTTTTATTTTCTCAAAATAAATTCAGATTAGTGGTGGATAATAAAGCAGAGGGACTACATTAAGAGAGTGAATTACATGCATTTAACTTAATATGTAGTAATTTCATATTGTAATGTGTCACTGCTTATGCATTAGGGCCATCCATATGTTGAATATGCATGAAGTACTGCACAGGAAATTAAATAAATTTGTAAACAATCAAGATTGAGTTTTGTCATTTTATTTTGTTTTAATTGTGATATCCACTTTCAAGTTAGAAATACAAGACCAAATTCTGTAAGTCACACCCCACACAACCCCAGTTGACGTCAAAGGAATTGCACAAGTGTAAGTCAAGGTAGTATTTGACCCACTGAGGCAAAAGCTATGTATAGACCTAAACAAATGTGAAGAAAGGATCCCCATATGAGGTCTAAATCCTTTTCTTTACCTTGAGACGCATAAGCAGTTTTTCCCAGGGAGCGTAGCATGGATCGGGTGTTCTAATTTTGAGAGAAAGATGCATGTATTTACCATCAAATAGTAATGTGCAAATTTTGTTTATATTTATTCCTTTGAAAGGTATAAAAGCTTGGAGCCATCTGGGTCTTGGTATGAGCAATTTTGAAGAGACAGCCAGCTCTGTCAAAAGATTCTTGACAATGTGTTACAAACAAATGGACTGATTGTACTTGGTTGGGGGGGTGGGGAAATCTTCCATTCCTCTTGTAGACTTAAACCCAGCTCTTTACTATATATAGATCTAGGTTCAATTAAATTTATTCCTTCATGCTTTTAAGCATCTTTTTTTGTTTCTTTTTTTAATTTTGACAAAAAAATGGCTCAATTCCTGACCATAAGATCTATATCTTTTATTTAGAAAGGTAAACTTGTTTTTGGTAATAATATAATGTATGAGCCATGTTTATATCACAAATGCATTAATGCAAACATGACACCACATTTTGTATATTTTCACCCATTTTGTCACTGATAATTATTTTCAGCATCAGAGATGTAATTGATGGTTCTTTCAACCATCTTGATTACACTGGAGCTCTATTAGATTTCCATTTCTGAGTATTACATATTATGCTACGAATATGCAACTCAATATACATTCTTGTTCAATGGAAATTTAATTCATGTACTAGTTTCAGTATGTAGATTTTTGGATGGGGCAGATCTTTGTATCCACTGTGGAAAGGTCTTTGCAAATGTTGCTCCAGTGTTTATGTAACTTGTGGTAAGGGAAAATGTGGGGCTTATTTAGCTGATGGCTGGTGGCATGTCGAGCATCTACTATTGTTAGCTTTATGTAGATGCCATGGGTGAAATTCTGACACCCTTGTAGAACTGGGTTCTTATATATTTGTTTGTGTATCAACTTGTTTTTAATATTTGACTTATCAGTGAACTCAGACTTTGGATTCTCTCATATCGAGCTAACTACTGAATTTGATAAATCTGAGTTGGTGACTAAAGTTGTTGCAATATACTTTAGGTTACATTGAATAAAGAATTCTTTCACAAGGATACAAGTCAGTATTTAACATATTGAAATGACTTCAATGAACCCAATAGAATTGCTAAATCATTTTTTCTTTTTGTCATAATTTTATTTTTCTTAATTACAATAAAATAAAAATACTTTACAAGACACATAATAGAAGGCATATGATGGGAAGGAGCCATCATTGACAAGGATAAACAACATAGGAGGAAAATAATAAAATGTACAATACTTCTTTGAATAGGTCTACAAAGTCTAATAGAGGTTTCCAGGTTTGAGTAAAAGGGATTATATGTCTATATTTTTCTGCTGCTATTTTTTCATACTCTTATATAATTATAATATTATTAAATCCCTTAGTAGGTGATCATTTTGGTATCTTTCCAATTTGTCATGGCATTACTCTTCAACTGTCTGCTAATTTTTTTATAAAGACATCTGCCAGTCTTTTTATACATGTGTGGTTATGCCCATTATCAGTAAATTTGACATGCTTAACAAGGAAATATCTTGTGATTGCTGTAAGATGAAAAAACCTCACCAAAAATCCCTTAAAATAAGCTAGTCCGGGTGGAAAAAACAAAATAAAGTATTCAGTGAGTGTCTTATAAAATAAAAGATGTTATTGTTTCTATACTCAAGCCTGGGACTGTCATAGTTCACTACAGGGGCGTGACTTGGTTGGAGACAAAATGGAACAGTACACTAGTACTTCTAGATGATTTGAAATAACTGGAAATTTAAGGTTTCAGAGTAGCAGCCGTGTTAGTCTGTATCCGCAAAAAGAACAGGAGTACTTGTGGCACCTTAGAGACTAACAAATTTATTAGAGCATAAGCTTTTGTGGACTACAGACTCAGTTTCATTCAAGATGCTAAATCTACATTTAATTTTCCATAGAGGGAACTGCAAACTGATGGAAAAACGAAATTTGTTTTCTGGTTTTCCCTCATCCCCTCCAATTCAGAATTCAATCCTTAATATTACACTTAGCTTTAGAGCAGGGGTTCTCAAACAGGGTTGGGACCCCTCAGGGGGTCACGAGGTTATTACATGGGGGGTCACGAGCTGTCAGCCTCCACCCCAAGCCCCGCTTTGCATCCAGCATTTATAATGGTGTTAAATATATAAAAAGTGTTTTTAATTTATAAGGGGGGTCACACTCAGAGGTTTGCTATGTGAAAGGGGTCACCAGTACAAAAGTTTGAGAACTACTGCTTAAGAGTATATACATCTGAGTAAGTTAAGAGTTTAATTGGTTAAGATTGACTTAAAAAATTGTACTAATCTTGAATCATATTACCAAAGGGAAAACATATATAGGTCATTTTGGTTCATTTCCCCACAATGGCAACAGGTAGACACTAAACAGAGGATGTATCAGATACTGAACAGATATTAATTACATGACATCTTTCTAGAGTAAGAGATATGCCTTTCAAGTGTTGCATATGGGACTAACAACATCTGAAATAAGAGCTGATAAGAATTGCAAAACACTTTTGTTCATATAAGGAACTGTAAATGGAGATTGCAAGATGCAATGAGGAGTTTAATTTTTTCTGGAGATTTAGGGAACAGGCTAAATAGTACTCTTGTTCCTTTCTCCTATTTGAAACTTAAAAAGGGGAATTATGTGTGATGGCTAACATTTTGCATGGGGTCTAGGTTAAGATTCCTGAATCTGAGGCTCTAAGTTTCTGGTGTTATTTGAAACTTTTTTAATGGGGATCATTTAAAAATCTCATAATTCATCACTTTACTTGCATCTGTATCATTAAACATCTGCAGTGCTTTCCCTGTCAGCTTAGAGAACAGAAATGTCATTTTCTGGCCCTCTAGGATGTTCTGTACCCTACAAATCCTTTCAAAGGTGGTCAAATATTCCTCAGTGCAACCAGTTTCCTAGTAATGAGGGCACAATTTGTCCCAGCTGTGTGATCTCTGGAGAGGATTGCTTGCTGTTTGAGTTTTGTATCTGTGCCTCCAGCATCCTGCATTCGTGCTCTCTCTCTCTCAGGCTTCCGCTCCTCTAGCTCCATAGTTCACTAATGGACAGATATTTCTGCTGCCTCTTTCTGCTTCTCAGCTTCTAGGACTTTTTGGCATATTGTTTCTCTGCCTCCCGCTTTTGCTTTTCTGCTTCTGTGGTTGGCTTCTTCTTGCACTGCCCATTTCTCATTGGCTGCCCATGTCTGGAATTCCCATTCCTTTTCTGCCTTCATCGCCTCCATTCTGGCCAACTCTACCTTCATGGCTGTTTTGCTGAGGGCTGCATCATGGGTGGCTGGTGAACCCCCTGCTT